GAATCAGAAGGGACAGGTGTTTCAAGGATCTTCTAATTTGGTCAAACTGGGTAAATGATTGGTTAAAAATTGTGCCAAGATTCTTTCATTTCTTTTTTTTTCTGTATTGCTAGTATCTCTATATTTTAATTTGAAGAACTGTAGGATTGGAAGTTGGTTGCTGAATTTCAGGTTTTGTTAATTCAAATTGGCATTGATTTTATTGTTTTATAATCTATATTATTAAATTAAACACCTTCTACTTCCCAAAGGAGAGGACACTGTTGTACAAACCAAACCATTTTGTAATTTGCCTGGAACAAATTACAATGAACTTTTGTAAATTTTGTAAATTTCTCATAAAGTTAAAAAGGACCTTCAATTTGATTTATTTACTTGATGGCTTTATCCCCCGTCTTTTATTCAAGTACTCAAGATAGTATGCATAACTCTTTGTCTTTCCATTTTTCCACACAGTAGCTTACTGCCAGATCTCTTTGGTGGATCCGGCTTGCTTGGGAGCTACCAGTTCAAGTCATTTTGAGGAGGTCTTCTGTGTTTGGCTTCTTCCATAGGCCACAGGATCCTCATTTTGATCTACTGCTGGGCATCTTTGGTGAGCTTGTACCACTGATTGTGACACAGTCTCTTTTTTGAATCTCATGCTGAGCTTTTTCTGGATTTCCTGCCCCATCCAAATGATGAGCCTTTTCAAAACTTTGCCGTAGCTCAACCATCTTTTGTCCTATTGTCCCACTGTTGCTGGGCCATCTTCTAGCTTGGCATTGCTTTTTTACTCCATTGTGGTGGCAGTTGCAGCCATAGGCAAACTGTGATGGGCTACTTTTGTCTCTCCATCTGTCTCTTCAAGTCTATGGGAAATTTTCATCTCTCTCTCCCTTCCTCATTTTAGCTCCACAACGAGGGAAAGCCCTGTTGCTGGCTGAACTATTTCCCCTTATCTTTCTTGATAGGGGAGGCCCTTAACAAAGAATGGGGAAAGATAGTCTGCAAAGCATATACTTCTGCTTATTATGTAAACATGTCCTTCCCCTAACCTGCCTCATCTTTTCAGCCTTAAAGCTAATTACCTGAGCCTCTCTTTTATTTTCCTCCATCTTAAACTCAACTATGGACAACTCCATGTATCTCAACTTTAACTAAGGTGCTGGTCACTGTTTCCTTAAGTGTCCTGGCCATACCGAGGTAGAACAATTGTGGCAATCTAACAAATGAGCAGTTAAATAAAGAAATAGATAGAAATCTGCAATTATATTTGGTTTGTCAAACTTATGCATAAATTTATATAGATGAAAGGAAAGACTAAAAAGCAACAGGTTAAAAAAAAAAAGCCCAGAAGGACAGTTTGGTACATAGAGTAAGACATATGGAATCAGTTAAACTCTCAAGCATTGCCTATGGTGGTCAACTGCTGCAATATGATCTAGCTTTCACAGAATATAGATGATTGGAAATCATCTTCCCCAACCTGGGTCCTTCCAGATGTTAGGTCAGGGGTGGGGAACAATGGTCCTTTTATGATTTGTGGACTTCAACTCCCAGAATTCCTAAGCTAGCCATGCTGGCTTAAGAATTCTGGGGGTTGAAGTCCACAAATCATAAAGGGGCCATTGTTCACCACCTCTGTGTTAGGCAGTGGCCCTCACTTTATAATAGAATAGAATAGAATAATAACTTTGTCACTTTGAATGTACACTGATTGGCATACATTAAAATGAAATTTCATTGCATACAGCTCTCAAAGGGTCACCACCTCCCAATATACACTACATAAATATGACAAAAATAAATAAATACAGAATTATGCATATACATATTTCCATGTTACCTTGATACAATCATATTCTGGCAATGCCAGTTTTCTGCTGAGTTCCCATGATGTTCTTCATCTCATTCTCTTCCCATGAAGGGTTTTAAGTCATCTTAGATGTACTGAAATGAAATAGTATTTCCCTTTTTTACATTTTACTAAGGATAGGTTCAAAGGGTAAAAAATAGAGTGCCTCACCACACCATGAACTTAAAAAAGAAATTGGGTGACCTGTTGTGAACATGATCAGATGTGTATATGTTCTTCCCCTAGTGATTAGCCAAGTTCCACCTCAGCCATTTCTCCCATAGAGTTTTTCAGCTCCATTCTTTGGGATCATCCTTACATTCTGCTTACCATATCACAAAGATGTGCTAATAATCATTTTTAAGAGATATATCACTTCTGCCTTATTACTGTTTATACTTGCCTTTCACTTTTCTGGTGTATAATATATGCAGTGATAGCAGTTTTCCAATATTTGAGTGACTGTCAGAGAGGAGGGAGTCAACCTATTCTCAAAAGTACCTGAAGTCAGGACAAGCAATGGATGAAAATTAATCAAGGAGAGATCCAACCTAGAATTAAGGAGAAATTTCCTGTCAGTGAGAACAATTAATCAGTGAACACTTGCCTCCAGAAATTGTGAGTGCTCCATCACTGGAGGTATTAAAGAAGAGATTGGATAACCATTTGTCCATAATCATATAGGGCAGTGGTGGTGAACCTATGGCACGGGTGCCAGAGGTGGCACTCGGAGTCCTCTCTGTGGGCACACGTGCCGTTGCCCCAGCCTTGCCTCCCCCCATGACACCCTCCTCACCAGCAGCCCTCCTGGAGAAGGGTTGCCCCTGAGCGTGGCCCACACGGAGCAGTGCAGTCAAGGACATGGTAGCCAGGCAGCGTAGACAAGACTCTGCCCTCACGCGCCATCGCGCACAGTTGATGCTGCGGGGCATGGGCAGAGGGTGTGGCTACCATGGCGCTGCTGGGTGATCTGCAGCGAGCTCTGGAGGTGGTGAGTGGCCCTGAGGGCAGGTGGGGTGGGGGCGGAGCAAAGGGTTAATGGGGGCGGGGCCAGTTTTTGGGCACTCGGTCTCTAAAAGGTTCGCCATCACTGATATAGGGTCTCCCGCTTAAGCAAGGTCCCTTCTAAATCTGTTATTCTGTAATTCTGATTAGAATCAACCAATTGCTTTACTTATCATATATGGTATATATAGGCCATTACTGGTCACCTCAAGATTGAATGTTTGCAATGGACTCTAAATAGGACTGTCCTTAAAGACCCTCCAGGTCCAGAAGCTACAGCTGGTGCAAAATGCAGAGGTGAAGGAATAATGAGTACCTCCCAATATGCCTATGTGACATCATGGGTTACTCCATTAGTTGGAAGTGGGGTTCCAGATATAATTCAAGGTGCTGGTTTTTATCTAGACAGTGAAACCCTTTATGGCATAGGGCTTGTAAGCCTAATTATTACAGTTATTACGCTTTTAGTCTGAGCTGCCCATGAGCTTGTTGTTTTAAACGGCTTTTATTTTGTATTTATATTTGTAATACAAATTGGGAGTGGGTGGCTATAATACATTTAAAATAAGGACTCAATAGGTGGATAAAAATGCCAAATCCAGTCTAAAATCCATCTGAGTGGCCAACTTTAATATAAAATCAGGATGGCACAGAGAATCAGAACAGGTATAATAGAGGCAAAATCAGGAATCAGCAAAGGGCAGCAAATTTCATGTTAATATAAATCCCGCCCGTGGGTGCATATATAGCAGTTTGATTCAACATTGGAGAAAGGTCCAAATATTCAGTGCAGTTCAATACAATTGATTTTGAAAATATTGGGGGGGGGAGGCAGGAATGGTGGGAGGAAGTGCGTTGAATAAGGATACTTTTTCTTCCTCACTGGCACAGTAACAATGCAGGGTCATTCACACATGCTGCTTCTCCAACTTGGTGCTTTGCATACATGTTAAACTGTGCCTCCCACTGTTTGAAGCTGGCATGTCCAATGATTATGACAGCTGGGAAAATAGGAACAGCGGTTCAATTCAATCTAAGGCACTAGGGCAGAGAAGACTGCCCAAGTAAATTTGAATAATGTTTTTTGTGCAATTTGCTGAACTGGCATATATGGTAATAATCTCAAACTTGAGCTTTAGTTGACCAACAGTTCTGATTACTTTTAAAGCAGACATTGTGATCTATAATTTTTAATTAAGATTCTGTATGCTATATAAAACACACGTTTAGAAGCAAGGAGATCTTGAATATGGGAGAACTTTCCACCAATGTATCTGGAAGAGACAAGGCCAACTAGCTAAGGTAGTTAGCTCATATGAATCTTGTTATGTTAATTGCTTTCCAAACCTCCAATAATAAAGCCATTTTAAATATTTTGTTTCTCCTTTTCCAATGGATCTATTTCAGGCTACTGTAGTCATTTGGGAATTCTCAGGTTCTTACCAACCTAAAGGGAAGGATATTTAAAGTTCCAATTATTTGGAGGGAAAAATTCAAAATTTGAATTTCTGATACCCAATAATTACAGGACTGAATGGCAAAGCAGGTTCTTCCATAGCTGAAAATATGCATTAAAAAAAAAAACCAGATCTTTTTTGTAACACTACTCAATGCTGTATTTTAGTCTCTTGGAGTTTTTATTGTCAGTTCTATCAATTCTATGCAAAATAGTGTATATGAACGGAACTATTTTTCTCTCTTAAGTATGCGTAAATTCCCCACCTTTACAGCAACCTGGTTATTTCTCTGATCCTCTCATGTTTGTTACGCAGCTGAAACCAATCTCTCTCTCTCTCTCCCTCCCCCCTTCCCCCGACGTTATTCGGGTTCTTTCTCTTTAACACCACTTGATTTTCCCAGAGTCGATTTTTTAAAAAAAAATCTGTAACATTTCGTCTCAAAGTTTCCGCCCACGTGACTTTCAGTTAAGTCCCTTGAGGCTTCCGAGAACCCACATCAGCTAAAGGGAGACGGAGACCCGCGGGAGGTGCATTGGTCTTAAGGCCAAGGGACGGAGCTGCTGACAGGCGCGGTGGGAGAAGGGGGAGAAAGTGCCCGAACGACTCGGAGGACAGGGAAAGAAAAGGAGAGGAAGAGTCCAGTTTAAAGGAAAAGGCGGCATAAGACCGCGAAGGCCTGAAGGAAGAAGGAAAGGGAGTCGACAGGCAGGGGGTGCTGTGAGCCATGCCCCATAGCTCTGACAGCAGTGACTCCAGCAGCTTCAGCCAGTCCTCTTCATCCAGCAAACAGGTATTGTGGGACCGCTTTCTGACAATTTAATGATAGGCTTAATGGCAGTTTATTTCAGCAAGCCTCCATTACGCGGAAGCAATTTAGTGGAATTCAACAGGTGAAGTTGCCGAGGCATAAAAATCAAGCGATGAAGAACTATTCCCCAACTACGTGTCTCCCCCTTTTAATCAAATTGACCCCTTTGATTCAGGATTAAATTAAAGAGGGACTACAGTTCCCAGATTACCAGCCACCTAGACTATCAGCTGCAATTCTGGGAATTGTGATTGGGGAAGGCTGAGTGGTTTGCATTAGAATTGTTTTCTTCTATCGCCCTCCTCTTCAAAATGATCCTGTGTAATGAGGAAAGTTCTGGGCGATCCAGTTTTTCTGCAAAAGGCCAGGGGCTGACTGATACATTAAAAGGTGTTAAGGTTGGGCATTTTCTCTACTGAGAGATGTAATACATTTTCCAACAATAAAATATCAGCTTTTTGCCATTTTAGGAATGGGACCCTAAACTTGAAAAAAAAAACGCTTCAGCTGTGTGCAAAATGCTTTTAGGTTTATGTATATATTAAAGAGGAGGAAAATTCTAGAGAATACACTGCTAGATGTTGGCAATGAGAGATAATGAAGTTACATTACCATAAGGATTTTTTAAAAAACGGTTTGAATAGAAATTTTGGATGACTATATTACATCAAACCCAATGCAATGTAGTGAAAGGTTTCACTGAGTTCAGTGGAGCTTACTGTCGACTAAGATGATATACATACACACCCATTATGCTATTCTTAAGCAAAATTACACAGAGTGCAGAAAAAAGTAAGAAATGGAAAGTTAAAGAGATTAAAGGCAAAAAGATAAGGATAGATAATAAACATGAAAAGCTAAAACTAGTTTATACAAACATTACTATGCTTTTCAATATCCTTGCAAACTTTCATTGATTCATCAGGTCCATATAATGCTTTCTATCTTGCTTTTTGCTCTTTAACCTTTAAACTATAGTATTCATTTCTCTCTCTTCAGGGATCTCAGCTCCATTCAACCAGGACTTTCTTGGACTGTTCAATACCCATTCATTAATTTATCATCTTATCTGTTCTTGTTTTACTGCACACATTTCTTATATACCCCTTTCCTACTGCATTCAGTTTACTTTTGTGTTTCTCTTAACATACCCAATTTTTACTTTCATAAACAAAAAGACAGAAGCACATTTTTATTTATAGCTATTTTTGCTCGCCCCCGAAATGTTTATTTACAACAGACCATGTGCTGTCTAATTCCTTTCTATATGCATTTGCAAATGTTAAAATTTCTCCAATTTCCCCAATTTTTTAAAAAAACATTCTATTAGAGTACTGTATAGAAATTGATCTACTTGCTTTAGTTTTTTTTTTACTATTTATGTATAATTTATACTTATTCTATTTTCCCTATCAAACACAACTAATTTGATACCGTTCAGTTTCAGCTCATATTACACTTTACAGTCTATTGGCTACAACGATTTGGGTTCACTAGCAACAACATAACCCCGTTTGCATACAAAAGTACATAAAAAGAATACATTCGCATCTCCACTAGCACACCACTAAAAATCATCAGACTTTCTTTCACTGATTATGTGCCATCAAGTCAGTTGAAATCTTAGCAATCGTATAGCTAGACTTTCTCCAGAATGACCCGTCCCCTTTCTGGTCTTTAAGATCTTTCAGTGATAGACACAGCCATCCTATATTCCTGGTCCATACATTTCAAAGGCAAAAGTTTGGAAAAGTATATTTGCATTTCAGGACTCTTCTGATGAAATGAGGAAAGTACAAAGAAGAGAAAAGAATCGCATCGCAGCTCAGAAGAGTCGGCAGAGACAGACACAGAAAGCAGATCACCTGCACTTGGTAAATGCTTCTGTCATTTTCATCTGGATTTCTGGGATATATTACTCATTATTAATATTAGTATCTCCATTTAAATCTTGCCTTTTTGCCAGAAGGCACACAATGCACAATGTAATATAATGACATATAATGTAATATAATGTAATGTATGATATATGATATGATATGATGTAATAGTCTGATTTAGGCCTGTAGCAATAATTTAAAGAACTGCTTGACCTATAAAACTGTGAAACAGCAGTAGATTCTCCAACACTTTGCATGGCTGCATTGAGGCAATCCTAAGATCTCTTGAGTAGCACCTGGAGATTGTATCAACTGCTCAGAGTCTTTGGGAATGGGTAATGTACAATAAAGGAAATATATATACAAAATGTGGTGGATAAAATTGCTAAATTTTGATAACATGATTGGGGGGTTAGGAATAGTTTTAAGGCTGGAAATGATAATTTCCCTCCCTGGAATTTCACATTCCCATCTTTAAAATACCCAAATGCCAAAAATGGTCAATCATACATTTTATTTATAATTCAAAATACATATTTATTTATTCTCAGGGGATTTTATCTCTTGGTAATATTTAGGGGGAATCCAGCAGACAAATCACTAAATTCTTTAACTTTAGAATAGTTGTTTCTTTAGCATTTTTGCTACTTGAGTCTCTCAGAAAGCCAGAGTAACATAGAGTAGTGCATGCCTCTCATCCCTGAGTTTCTGGAGATCACATAAAACCTGAATTCTGTTGCCTAGTTTGCATAAATAGCAATTGGATTATCAATTTTTTGGCTGACCACTTCAAGAATTAAACGAACATTGTGAGTGTGTGCAACCATCTTTGTATTAAAAAAAAATTCCTCTTGCATACAGAAGACATGATCTCATGGGAAGGTTCTCCATCTTGTCCTCTCTTACCGTTGAGTATGCTCTGAGAAAGAATGTGTTCATACGACTCTTCACAAAAACTGTGAAGTGATTTACTCAAGAATGGTTTTAACCTGTCATACGCTTGCATTTGACTGAATCCAGCTTACAAACTCACCTAGCAGCAAAATTTTACATGTTTATAGATAATTTCAATTTTTGTGCTTTCCCTTTAAAGGGGGCAGGGGATAATTGCTGAGGTTTACCACACGTGATATAGCCCTTATCTGAGAGCTGTGAGCTTGCTGGAAAATTTGGTCTAAATGAATAACAACTGCAAACATCTCTCTTGCACATGAAGAAGCATCTTCACACACAAAGGCCTCAAATTCAGAGGTGGCCCATTTGGGGACAGACCTGTGTCATAGTCCCAGCCATCTTACTCTCTAAAAGCTGGCTTGCTTTTGAGTGAGGCCTTGGGGAGAACAGCCATGATTTCAACTGATGAATTTGTACACTGCACTGCCTCTTTCCCTGCAGCTGCTGAAAGATGCGAGCAAGACTTTCCTTCTTGTTCAGTGTCAGGTTTCCTGTGTCAGGTGGTTTTGCTAAGCAGTGATGGCAGTTACTGACCCCCTCCTGTTCCCCAGGCTTTTGCTCTCAGGGGTCAGGATGTATGTGGCTTAGTGTTGAGGAAATACAAGTGCCTGATGAGGGCTTGGTGAGAGGCAGCAGGAACGCACGGTGCAGGATATGTTGCTGTCATTTCTCATAAGTTGCTGGTTGGGGGCAGAATGCGGCCAAGCGCAGAAATGTCACCCGCTGACAACTAGATCTACTTTCCTTCTTGGGTTTGCCCAGACTGAATTTACAAGAAAAACATCAATCTGGAAACTCTGCAAACATGTTATTATAGAAAAACACCATGAACTCAACACCTTTTGCCCATTCTCAGATTTTGATACTGTTTCTTATATACTACAGTTGGAAATTGGATTAAAAATACAGGCAGGTTAACCAGACTAATGGTTGTATGGTAGCAAGAGGGAAGATTTGTGGTTTGGACCATAATGTGTGGAAAAATTATTATTTTGTTCATAAATTTGGTATAAGGTAGGGGAAATTCTGCCCTTTATAGCATTTGTTTGTTTCTTTGAACCTGAGGAGAGGTATACACAGACAATCCTGGATAACTGTGAAAAAAGCTAAGCAGAATCAGATCGGGTTAGTGCTTGAATGGGACAGCACCAGATGATCCCAGGGCTGTAGTCTAGAGTCCAGGGGTAGGCAACCTTGGCTCTTTTATGACTCGTGGACTGCAACTCCCAGAATTCCTGAGCCAGCATGGCTGGCTCAGGAATTCTGGGAGTTGCAGTCCACGAGTCATAAAAGAGCCAAGGTTGCCTACCCCTGGCCTAGACTCTAGACCAGCATTTCTCAACCTGAACAATTTTAAGATGGATGGACTTTAAACTCCCAGAATTCCCCAGCCAACATGCTTGAGCTAAAGTCCACGTTCTTAAAGGTGCCAAGGTTGAGAATCACTGATCAAGACCAAAAAGTAAAAAAATAAAAATAAAAAAATGGAAGAGGTAGTAGCAAGCCTCTTCTGTATTATTTCTAAAGAAACTTAAAGGGGATGTCCAGGAAGTCACCAGGATGTGTTGAGGGAGTCTTTATTATTACCTTTTTGCAGTGTAACAAATGGTGCTGTTAGTTACTTATTCAGAGTTCTTTGTTTGCATTGACAGTTGAAACACCCGTCAGTCAGTAAATCAAGTAAGGTAGGAATGCCGAAAGTGTCTGGGACAGCCTGCAACAATTCCAGGGACTCTAAAATTTTCTCTCCATGTTATCTATTAGCCCTGTTCATACACCTGCTCTCCCTGCTTCATAATCTCATTTCTTCCTATTCGTACAACTGCCTGATGTGTTCTTGCTTTCTCCACTTGCTGCCTGTCACACCTCAAGCTGTTTGCTCCGCACACTCTCTGGTGTGCTTTTGGCTACTCTCCTTGTCCTTTTCCTATTACCCCCACTCCACCCTCTGCCCCCTCTTCCCAAATTGCCCCTGGGCAAAGCTCCTCACTGCTTTCTCAGTTCTCCTGGGCACATTTGCTCTTGCTCATTTGTATTACTTGTTTTTGAGTATTTATGTCAGTGCTGTTATACTGAAAAGTTTCTGAGCATATGTATTCATTTTCTGTTTTTACCTTACATTTATTAACATGCACCCCCCTCTTCAGGAAAACACCCATCCCATAAGCGTGTAAAAATGCAAGTATGGCTTCCAAGCCACAAAACCTAGTCCACCATTAACACAAGGGCTTTGTCATGTTCATATGCTCTGTTCTTGAAAACAAGCTTTGGACTGCTTCATGGTTACCTGCTTGTTCCATTCATCCATGATTATCGGGAGATTAATTAAAAGTATATGAAATAGCAAAATAAATGAATTCTCAATAGCTGATGAAAGATGCAATCTATCTTCATTTTCATTTTCCCTGATGTCCTTATGGTGAAGCAATATAGCCCACCATTTCCCACTAAAAGAGATATTCACTTAAAGGCCTAAGTAGCAATTCCCTTGAAAAATAAATGCCTTTAGGATTGTAGTACTGACACCTACCAGTGTGTCACCTTCGGAGAAGAAAAGAATTCCTATATGGCTCATCCTCTCCTCATCTTAAATGCTGCTTCAGGGAACAGAGGTCAACCACGTTGTTCTAGTTGATTTACTTTGCTTTGCAGGAAGCGTGACAATGAATAATGTTACTAATGTAGGTCAATCTGGAAGAGAGTCAAGTTACTTCTAGGCTGGCTATTTGTATGTTATTGGCAAGGAGGAAACTTATCACCAAAAAAAGCAAGGCAAGCAGGCATAGATTTGCATAAACTTTGCATATGCTTGTCTAAATGCAATAGATGTATATTCATTAGAAATGAAATACATCTTACCATCTTCATGAGCACTACAGCTAGTCCTCGATTTACAACCATTCCTTTAGCAACTGTTCAGAGTTACAATGGCACTGAAATAAGTGATTTAAGACAGGTTCCTGCCCTGATAATTGTTGCAGCATCCCCACAGACACATGACAAAATCTGAGTGCTTGGCAACAGGCATGTATTTACAATGATTGCAGTTCCTGAGATCACGTGATTGCCATTTGCGACCTTCTCAGCCAGCTTCCAACAAGCAAAATAATGGTGGGGGGGGAGAGAGATTGGATTTTACTTAACAATTGTGATTCATTTAATTGCACTAATTTGCTTAACAATTGTGGCAAAAAAAGTCACAAAATTGGGCCTAACTCACTTAACAATCATCTTGCTTAGCAATGGAAATTCTAGTCCCGATTGTGGGTTGTAAATCTAGGACTGCCTGTATGATGACCAAATGACAGGGCTTTGTATATTCAGTTAATTTCTGATGCTTTGCATAGATGGGTGATTTGAACTTCAGGGGCCCAATTCTCCCTTTTTACATTCTTTAGACTGGATTTGGATCAGAGTGAATTTTAGTCTGTAAAAAGAAGGCACTGGAAAAAGGATTTTTTTTTTAAAGTGTTTATTACTAAATAAATAATTTAGCAATAAATTATTTATTATTGTATAAGCGTGTCACACATCTGCATTGTTTTGCTATTAGCTAATAATCCCTTAGATGTTTCCTAATATTTACTGGTGTGTCATCTGTTGAACTTTTGCCCTTATCTCACTTGCAGTTTAACCTCAATATTAGAGAACACTCAGGCAGCCCCATTTCATAATGTAAATGATCTAATAATAGTAACACTGTGTTGATAGAGAGCAAGAGGAATCGATGTAGTGAGATTGAGGCTGTCCATTTTGCAAGAATCATTTGGGAGGCTAGTGGGGGGTATGGAAGGAAGTTGGCAGAAGGGAGTGTCACTGAAGTGGTGAGGCAAATGAGGTAGAGTAGGCTGGCCTCAGGGAAGAGGAATTGGGAATCTCAAACTGCTCCCCACTACTAATATCCTAAGCTCTTCCAAGGTACTACATAAAAGTCCCTGGTTTTCAGGCCCTAGCTAAATGCCTGGTCTTCCCCTAGTGTTCCCCCCCCCCATTTACAACTTGATTATGGATGACAGCAAAGACTAGGATATATCATTGAAACCTGGATGGAGGATGATTCTCATGGGGATATGCCCATCTGGGTTTCAGGTGTTATAGCAGGCATGACTTTTGACATGCGAGCAAGAGTGGCTCTGATCATCTGGGAAATTAAACAGAGAATCAAATCTTCTCTCTTACGTATAATTGGTACAGAGCCTTGGCTATGAGATTGAGCTTGAGGGACATGTTGGGGGTTATCTGCCTACTGCATAGCAGCATCCCTGACTGAGCTGAAGGACTTCAATTTATTTCCCCAGGATGGGAGGCAGCTTGTACATTTTTGTGCACTATGACAAACAAATACTTACACAAGCGATCATGGACTTAACCCACGCAGGAGACTACATAGTAAAAGTGATGGTGGGGGACATATCTTTAACATTTTGTTTATTTATAATTTTATATACTCATAGTCAGATCATGCTCTAATTTCTATAGAATTTTACTATGCCACAACCCTTCATAGGAAAGAAGGGCCTAGTCAATCAGTCTGTTCCCCAGGCACCTGATGGATCGCATGTGCTACCATGTGGCACTTGGGAAGTTTCCGGAAATGAAAGCATTAGAGTGCTTGGTTGACCCCAAGGATAGATGATTGACAGCCATGTGGCCTACCGGTTAAGACTTAGTCAGAATCCCAGGAGGATAGAATGATAGTAAATCTAAAGTTCTGTTGAATCTGAAAATACTGCATTTTTAACTCTAGATGGGGCTGTGCTCCTCAGGGAGGGAAGTAATTTACAATTTAGGAGTTCTTCTGACTCACAGCTCTTGTTCATCATGGCCAAGAGAGATTTCACACAATTGTATTTTATGTGCCAATTGCTGGATGAAGGAGCTTTGTGCACAGTCCCTCATGTTCTTATTACTTCTCAATTTGATTCTTTCAATTCACTCTTTAAGTGACTGCCCTTGAAGACCATTCAGATAAGGAAAAGAGGGCTTGCTGGGAGTCTTGCCTTTGAGATAATGCACCCCTAAAGAGAACCCAGGGATGATGAGTCCCTTTGTATGGAATAGCTTACCCCTGATTGTCTTACACCTTTCCCCCAAAATATTTGAGCTTCTAAAAGGTTTTGAAACCTGTCTCTTCAGGAAGAGTTTGGAGGATATAATAGTTTAGCCCAGGGGTCAGCAACCTTAAACACTCAAAGAGCCATTTGGAACCGTTCCCCACAGAAAAGAAAACACCAGGAGCCACAAAACCCCTTTTGACATCTAAAATGAAGATAACACTGCATATATCCTTTTTTACCTTTATGCTATGTATAAAAAAAACTATAGTGTGTTGCATTTATGAAATCAATGAACTGCTACAGAGAAAACACATTTTTATTTCTGCATACAACAAAAACATTTTGAACTCCGAAAAAAAAGACGCTGGGTTGAAGGTTATTTTCAGATAAAATACTCAATGTCTATTTGAGTCCTCCTCGTATTTATGAAATAAAAAGCCGAACTTAATTAAATTCAATTAGTAGTGAAAGCAAATGAATCTGCCCACGTGACATTAAATGTTCTGTTTTCTTCTGAAACTTTTATTTTCTTGGATTTATCCATGGTTGGCCTACCAGGGGTCAAAAGGCACAATAAATCTCCTGCCAGCGAGTATTGTACATTGGCAGTTGAGATGCATATTTTGAGCGACAGAGAGCCACAGCAGAGGGATGAAAGAGCCACATGTGGCTCCGGAGCCACGGGTTGCCGACCCTTGGTTTAGCATCAGTGGCGTAGCGTGGGTTGTCAGCACCTGGGGCAAGGCAAGTAATTTGCGCCCCCCCCTCCACAGTGGGTGGCGACCCGGCGGCTCGGATCGGATTCGCACAGCCAGCACTGCAGAGAGAGTGAGTGAGCCAGGCAGGGGCAGAGAGCTGCGAGTGCGAGCGCGCCCCCCCAGATGTTGCGCCCGGTGCGGCCGGCCCCCCCCTGCACCCCCCACGCTACGCCTCTGTTTAGCATGTCCCCCAGAATTGGCTATGGTCTTTTTTCTATTTAAGTTGTCCTAAACTTATAAATGTGAACTTTATTGCATCTGTTTGTTTATTTATTTATCCACTCACTCATTTGAATTATATGGCTACCATTTGCCAAATCAGCCTTCAATATTCATTAAGAGATTACTGATGGGAGCTGCCTTTGTCTTAGGAAGAGTGATGGGAAATTCATAGCTTTAGTAATTCATCAGTCAATCAGCATCCAATCTGATTTTCCCTATCTTATCAAAAAGGACAACATATTTTAATAGTCAGGTAATACCGTAATGAGCAACACAACAGAATTTCATTATCCTTGGCCAGTTATCCCTAGAGGCATGTGGAGGCTAATAGTGTACAAATTCAGTCAATAAATTGTACATGCATACATCCATGACAGAGTTATGTCAGAATTCCTATGAGGAATTGATTAATCATTTAGATGTCACAGTCACATATAATGGAATGTTTTAAGAAGAGCTGTACTGAAGAGGCTTGCAATAAAGACCCTCTTAGTAAGTTTGGAAAGAGGTGACTTAATTTACTGTATTTAACTCTGTGGTTTTGTGAAGAATTATTAAAAGCTTTAAGTGCACAGTTAATTTCACTACTTTGATATAATACGTTTAGAATTTCTATAACCAGGAGCGAACTAGGTTTTGTTTTGCAGGTGGGTTGATTACCCACATATATTTCCTATGGTGGGATCTAAGCCTTTGATATTTTCTGTTTCTTTTCCTTCATTAAAGGAGAGTGAAGACTTGGAGAGACAGAATGCTGCTTTGCGGCGAGAAATCAAGCACCTAACAGAAGAACTGAAGCACTTTTCCACAGTGTTGAATTCCCATGAGACTCACTGCTCGATTCTCCAGACACAACCCCCAGTGCCTTCAGAGGTGCTTTTTACCCCTCTTGCTTTTCCTCAGAGCCATATCAGCTCCCCTTGTTTCTAATACTGATATCAACACTTGGATTGAAAAAATGCTTGGATTCCATGCCTAGAACAATGAGATGAGGTTCTCACTAGGACAACTCAGAGTATCTTCATGTCTCTCTCTGTTGAGCAGAATAAGGAGTCAAGATGTCTTGGATCTGGTCGTGGGCAGATATCAGGACACAAAAGAAGTGTTTCTGCAAAGGGCTTGCGTCGGTGAATGAGATCCAGAGAACAAGATAACCGCATATTTCTGTTATTTGCACTGAAGCACTGCATATTGAAGTGTGTTCTTTTGCAACACTTCTTAATTCATTATTTTCTAAAATAAAATTCCTTTTTTTAAAAAAAAATACATATTTCATTTTAAAATTTGATATTTGCTTTCATTTCTATCAGTTCCCTTCCCTCCAAATCCCAAACCCTTAAGCAATGGGACAAGGAAAACATTCTGAATTGTAGAAGTCTGTGAGCCAAACATTAGTTGTATTAGCACAGCAGAACAAATCACATAGCCACATTTTAGCTTAGTGTGTTCACAGCCTTTGCAGTTATTGAATTAATTCTAAAACTGATCCACCATGGATGATGTGTTGTATGGATGCAGCCACAAGGTTAAGCTGATCATATTTTATTTTTATTTATATCCTGCCTTTATTATATTTTTATAAACAATTCAACATATCTAAAATTCCTCCTTTCTCCTATTTTCCCCACAATAACAACAACCTAAGTTCAGCTGAGACATTATGACTGGCCCAAGGTCACCCAGCTGGTTTTCATGGCTAAGGTGGGACTAGAATTCATTTTCCCAGTTTCTAGCCTGATGCGTTAATTACTAGACCTAACTGGCTCTCATAATTAGCAGGTGCCTGTTGGTTTCTTTACTCAATGTTAGTTATGAATGTAAGGTGGGGATGGGAGGCAAGCAACACTGCAAGAACTGAGACAGAACTTTTCCTAGTCTGAATTTAGAACTCCACAGCTATCCTATTAGATATTTAATTTAATAGGTGGAACAGTAAAGCATATAATGGGCCAGGACGGTTGGAGTTGATTGGTTGGAGAGTGCAGGCTCCTGCATGAGGCAATCTACATTATGATTGGTTGCTGGGTGTAAAGGGGAGTTTCCCTTTTTTCCTGCCTTTTTCTTCTGTGTGCGCTGTATGCTGTTCTGTGATCTATCTGACAATTTCTACCTGATGATTTACCTCATGATGTAGTGATGTGCCTGACTGTCTTGTCTGCTGTACATAAAAAATGTAAAATATATTTATTTACATAAAAGTACAAGTTCGTGTCAGCGTCTCTGACTCCATTTGGACACCGGCTGCTGCAAGTCCCTGACATATCCCATTATTTGTTCTGAAAGAAAATGATGCTGCCCAATAGAAAGTATAGGGTCATAAAAGCTACTAATCATATAATACATAAAAGATGCAAATTGGTCCATTAATTGATTTGGAAAGTGAGTTTAACATCTACATATGGTAATACTCTGATACAGAAGTTAGAAGTAACATCCAATTTATGCTGTTGTTACATAAAATCACCAGAATTATGTTTTCCCCAACTGACTTTTAGACCCTTCAATATACAGGTAGTCTTTGACTTACAACAGTTCATTTAGTGACCATTCTAAGTTACAACAGCACTGAAAAACGTGACTTATGACCATTTTTCACATGATCGTTGCAGCCTCCCCTTGGTCACATGATCAAAATTCAGATGCTTGACAACTGACTCATATTCATGATCCTTGCAATATCCCAGGGTCATGTGATCATCTTCTGCAACCTTCTGACAAGCAAAGTCAATGGGAAAACCAGATTCACTTAACAACCATGTTACTAACTTTACAACTGCAATGATTCACTTAACAACTGCAGCAAGAAAGATCGTAAAATGGGGAAAACTCATTTAACAAATATTTTAAATAGCAACAGAAATTTTGGTCTCAATTGTGGTCGTAAGTTGAGGACTACCTGAATTATCAGATTTGACAGGTTCTTGTATTCAGTGGTAGCATGAATAATCAACACTATGTTATAAGGTCTCTATTACAGTTAAAAGTTAAATTCTGGATGAATAGTTTTGTTTCCATTGTAGTTAGCTGATCAAAAAGCTAATCTTGCCGTTCTCAGGAAAGCTAGAGGCTCTGGTGATTCCGAATTGCTATACATAATAACAAACACATTTTTCTTTCAAAAGCTTTGATAAACAAGGGAACATATTGTCCTTGTTTTGGAGAACATATTCCACTGTTATACAAATATCTGTTAGCACCAGGGGTTTATTTCTAGTGATATGAAAATAATTTGTCCAAAAACGTAGGGAAAAATGCTAATAGAAAACCCCATGAAATACCCTCTAGTTGGGTTTTTTTTTTGGCTTATTTTAATAGCTGGGGAATTATACAAAACGATGCCTAGTAAAAGTCCAGATAGATAGCTTGCCGGCTGGCTAGTTATTTTGAATTCCTTTCTTATAGTTCTACTTCTGGTCTGCATAATCACTTCTTAAAATTATTTCTTAACAGTTTGCTCCTTTCCCCCTTGAGAGACAGCCATTATTTCCCCTAAATTCCTTTACAATATCAGACAGTAACACATAGTGATGGCAGTTATTTTACCTGATGGCATTGGATATCTGAACTATGGAATTTGTTTGGGTTAATTATTTCAACACAGAGTATTAGTGGAAAAACTTGAATAACAGACATATTTAAGAAGACACAGTCTCCTAATTTATTTTACATTCATCATACACAAGGAGGTGCCCCCTACAAGCTATGATTTTAAAAAACAATAGAATTGTCATGTACCCTATCTTTCTGAAAGAATAAGGATCAACACCAGGATAAATAAGATAGCAGGAGAAAAGGAGAAATGCTAGTTTTAATATTTATACTATGCTACTAAAAGCTTCTCTGCTTCTTATTTTCATCTGGCCTGCTGAAAAAGCAATTTACTCAGATATGAAATTGCATAGCCAGAATCCTGAATAGTGTCATTCCAAGCCAAAATCACATACAGGCAGTGGTGGGATTCAGCCAGTTCGCACCAGTTTGGCAGAACTGGTATCTAATTTTTTGTTGCCCAGGCCCAGAATGGACTTCCAGAAGCGGCATCCACACAGAGAACCGGTTGTTGAAATATTTGAATCCCACCACTGCATACAGGGCAGCAGGAGCATTTGAAGTCCAAAGAGAAGCCCATAATTCAAGACCATCCATTTGATGAAATAAGGTAACTTCTCTTTCAATGAAGCCCAACTCCTAGTGACTTCATTAACATATTCTTGCAGTTTTCTTGGCAAAACACAAAACTTACATTCTCATGGGAATTTTTCAATTTCCTCTTGTCCAAGTACTAACCAGGCTTGGCCTTACTTTGGTTTTGAGCTAAGAAGGTAGTCAATCAGATTCTACTCCTATGAGGCTTACACAGTAAACTGACTAGACTGAGCTTGCACAATTCTTAAGCTGAGGGAAACAGCTTTTTTTAGACACAAAGAGATTTAGAAGAGCATTGAACACTTATGGTCATTCTGTTTACATAATTGCTGCCTTTGGATATAACTATGCACACAATGATGTCCATGTGGCCCTCTATCTGTTCATAGCGCACCCATTTATCAGAAGGCAATATCCAGATACTCTCTTTTGAAGAATATTTCAGAAATGTTTGCATCAACGTCATTTTTTTCCACCAAAGAGACACAGTTTTTTCCAATTATAGAGGCTTTAACAGGATTTTTAAAAATTAACAAACATTTTCAAAGTTAAACTCTGAAACAAACTATAGTTCCTAGACCCACTACCTTCTCAGGAGATCTATTGGTTTTGTGATCCATACTGACACCTGTTGGCTACACTAAGAGCCACAATAGTAACATTGTATAGTATGCATGAGTTTAGCTTTTAACAGTGAAATTCTGTGCTTTTGTTTAGATTTAAGATTTATTGAGTTCAGTAAACTGACTCACACGTAAATACACTCAGGTCAAATATTAGTCATTTAAATTAATAGACTATTAATCTGATGAATAATTCTGATTTTCTGGAAGATAAACTTTTTCTGTTCATTTAGTTAGCTTTAACAGAATAACAGTTGGGACAACTTTGTATCACTGGAAAAATATTTTACTATACATTTGGCTTGGATCACAACATCAGGCTCACAATTAAAAGACATACTGTTTAAAAAGAGATGGGGTATGTGTGTGCAGAAATCAGTGTCTCACAGATATCCATCTTCATTTCATTGCTGTCCACCAGTACAATGGTCAAGAAATCAGGTATTTGCTTGGGGGTAAAACAGGAGAATTAAAATGTATTGAATTGTACTAAATCTGAATGTTGAGTAGATATTCTAGGCTGAGCTAAGCATAGCACCACGCTGCCTCCAGAAGTTAACTTGGGTTGGAAGTAGAGATCATCAGAAAACTTCAAGGCTGAAGAATAGACTGAGGAAGCCTCTTCATTTTCTCAAATAAATATGAGGCAACTTACATTTAATTCACATGTCTAGTGACCATTAATATATTCCCAGTGCACTTTTCTTGTTCCATGATGTATATTTCTGGAAACTGAAATAATCATGAAAACTACTGATTTTTTGAGAATTTGCAATCTTGACTGAGTTGATTTTCCAACAGTTACTATGTAGTTAAAATCTCCCAATGTGAATATATATATGAGCAGAGCACAGAAACAGCTGGTCTTTTAAGCAGGTGTTCGAACCTCTGGCGTTCCACTCTGACGACGTCGGCAAGCTTAGTTTATTAAACAGTTGTTGTTTTTATATTTATCCTGGTGTTCAACCATTTTTCTCAACACACACACACACACACACACACACACATCTTTCCAAATTCTATAATCTGGGCCAGAAAAGAACCGTCCAGATTTTCTGCCCACAAGAAGTATCCTTGTTTTCTTTTTTTTATATTGTTATCCACTGAACTGAATCCTCATCCTCCAATTCTTATAATTCAGATTTCAATACACATGCACTTCCTTCACATAAAATGCAGTTCCACCTGTCATTGTTAACATATAAGTTGCTGTTTTCAATCTTATCTTCTACACACTGCTCCTTCCTTTTCATTCATCTATCTTGGCATTTTTTAAAAATCCCATCACTGCAAGTAAACCAATTTGATATTTGCCTTGGAATCATGACCATTCTTTATTTGTGTTAAAGCCACAAGAGCTTTAACAGGTTTTTTTGGAGTCAATATAATAGACAATGTTGTCTGGTTCATATACATTGAACAGTTGGGTTGTTCAATTATTAAATGAGACCACAGTAAA